CTGGCCCTGGACGGCCAGGAGAGGAACGACGCGCGGGGACGCGGCACCACGGCGCCTTCTGGGGCTCTCCAGGCTCCCCTCAAGTTGCTCCCGGGGATGTTATGAAGCTCCTGTACCTCCTTAGGTCACAACGCCCATTTCTGTTTTTCTTTAAGACACCTCAGATTACACCCAGGTGATCGAAAGAGGTTAAGGAGGAGACAGGGAATGAGAAATAAACCAGGTGGAGAAGCTCCACCTGACGGGATGAAGAGCACAGACCGCAAATGTTTAATGGCATTTGAATTCAAGGCTTGAAGCCTTCTGGATTCAAGATCAAGACAGACATCTGCATCCACTAAAAGCTGTTTATTAGAGACAATCGACAGTCCAGCCAAAAGAGCACAACTTTTCAAAAACATGCCTTGTGATTTTAGAGATGAACCAGTCTAAAAAAGCATGTGTTTTTATCATTTTCACTTAGATATGACAGCCACCCAATTATTTTCTTCAGAAGCCACACCATTACAAAAAAAATATAATTAAAAAGTAAAGCTTTTCAGCAGCCATTTCCTAGTGCAGGCAGCAGAGTCAACTTTTAAGCACATGCACACCCACTTTCTGCAGTGCAAAGTCTGAATCTGTCCGTCTCAGTCACAGCAACTGTAGCCACATGTCAACAGGGGAATTCTTGAAACCAGCTGAGAATCTAGCCCATGAAAAACACTTTTCTGCTGGGAAAAGCAAGTTGTGATGCTCTGAAGTTAATCTAAGTTAAGCAGTAATAAGAAACTTCTCATACAGTAAAATAGAGGTACAATACATATCAAACCAAACAGGATTATCTGCTTCACAGCCTACAAAAAATCCAGTGAGAGTAAAAGGAAAGGATGACACCTTAAAAAAAAAAAAATCAGTCCATCAGCTGGACCTGTTTTCCCATTAGAGAAAGAACATGCATCTCAGTAGTTTCATGTTGCATAATATCTATTTTTACTTTTGCTTCCTTTCACTGACACTGAAAAGCGATGAGTACAGGTAGATCCAACTTCAGCTACAATCTGAACAAGCTGCGGTGAGCCAAAGTTGCTGGGACACAGCAGCAGGAGAGGGTTTAGTAGCCCAAGAAACTGTTAGTGGTGTTTTTAAATGGATACTGCTGCCCTCTACCAGCTACCGAGAGATGTGTCACAGCAGCTGTCTAATACCACACACTTCCTTCAGTAGGAAAAAAGAAGGAAAAAAAAACCAACAAACCAACACATAAAACCAGAAGACCCGATATAATTTGAAGCCACACACTATTTTTTAGGAGTAAGCTTACTGGAAATGTAACATATGAAACAAGCCTCGTTACATAAATATAACTACCAAGTTGCCTTAAAATCCTGAAAAAAAATCAAAACACAGTGTGAAATATAACCTAGACCATTTTAAGTTTTAGTTAAAAGACTAAATTTTAATCTGCATAAGGAAATGAAGGATTTATTTTATATGCATGTAAAGAGTAAGGTGGGTTTTTTTTTTTAATCTTCCTAGAAATAGAATTACTGGAGTTATTTACAACAAGGAGTAAAAGATATTTTAAACCAGAACACACACTTTTCTTTTTAAGTAGGAAACCACTATATTCTTGTAGTGAAATAGCCAAAATCAAGGCTTCAAGGGGAAATCAGAAAAAAGTATTCTGCTGGCAGGAAAGTCAGGTAATTTGGGAAAGTTTTGTGCCCAGCTAGTTTTACGTGGCCAGATGGAAATGAAACATTGCTTGGAAAAAAGCATCACGAATAGGTTCCAAGGGAAAATAAACCAACAAACAAGCAAAAAAACCCCAAACCTTACAAAGCAAAAAAAAGCTGCCACAACAAAAATCCAATAATCCAAAAAGACCATGGAAAGGTGAAGAACGTATTCAAAACCACAGCTGATGGGGGAAAAAAAAAGCCTGAACTGAGCATTAATAGAATGAAAGAAGCAGACCTTGTAGGACCCTACAGCAGCCTTCCCCCTTTAAAAGGGGGGCTACAGGAAAGCTGGGGGGGTATCAGGGATTGCAGTGATAGGACAAGGGGCAATGATTTCAAAAGTGAAAGAGGGTAGATATAGATGAGACATTAGGAAGAACTTCTTTGCTCGGGGACTCTATCAGGGATTGCAGTGATAGGACGAGGGGCAATGATTTCCAAAGTGAAAGAGAGATTAGACATTAGGAAGAACTTCTTTGCTGTGAGGTTGGTGAAGCACAGATTGCCCAGAGAGGTTGTCAATGTCCCCTCCCTGGAGGTATTCAAGACCAGGCTGGATGGGGCTCTGAGTAACCTGGTTTGGTGGGAGGTGGTCCTGCTAGGTATCTTTAAGGTCCTTTCCAACCCAAATCATTCTATGATTCTATGAATAATGCAGGCAGCTGCCCCCCAAAAGCCATCTCTGACAACTGCTAGAGCTTGAACAATTTAAGAAACCTTTATCTAAATCACAATTACTACAAAAGAGTCACAGGGTATTCTCTGGGCCCTATGTACTCTCTTCCAGTGCTGCCATTCCTCCATTTCTTCATTTAACATCAATTTGCCAAGAGTGGCTATGCATATAATGGATTAATGGCTTTTGTTTGAACTCAAATCTATTTTGCTGAGGTTCCTGTCTCTATGCATTCATTTTCCACAGCCAGTCCTGGAGGGATGCTCACAGGGATCATGGTGTATAAGGGCAAAGTTTCAGCAGCACACGTTGAACTTCCAGAAACTGGACCTGGCACAGACAAATGCAGCACCAGCCCTTGTCTACAGAGCTACATGGGATCCAGAAAACATTCAAGTACCCAGCACCATTCAAATTCTTAGGAGTTGTAAATTAGCCATGATTACGCCTTTCAAAAAGAAGTGTGAAAAGTTGCCTAATACATCTCAATAATTAATAAATCTGAAAGACTAATGATCTAATTGTAGATACCCTGAAAACAGAGAAAGTCTAAATTAATCAGCGTGTTTGCAGGGAGCAATTCAGTCTAATTGCTCTCAGCATTTTCTCTCTAAACAATAGACTTGCTCTAAGCTGACAAATGCCCAGCGCAGCACAAACACATCCCTTCCTCCAGCACCCTGGTATCAGCATGGAACCAGACAGCAGAGAGCCCAGAGCTGCAAGTGGTGGGCTACTGCAGGTTCACTACTGTTTCAAATTAAAAGTATGTGTTATCCTGCCCCCTTTTTAAAGTTTTATTTTATCATTAGTCAGCTTCGGCACAGCTCAGTGATGTTAAGAGCTGCCCATGCAGCAGAGCAGCACAGCCTCTCTGCCAACACCAGGAGCCCACTGAGACCCTTCTGGCAGTGGGTGGTGGTAGATGTGAGAGCAGATGACATCCTGTACTACTGCAGCCCACCCTTCTCCTTTCACATGTTCAGCTCCTTGTGTTACAGGAGGAAAGAAATGAGAGCAAAACCAAAGTGCAGCAACAGAAAACAACAAGGGAGACCTGAAACGACAGACTGAAAGAGCAACAGACAGGGCACAAAGATCCTATAAAATCCAGAAAACACGAAACCATGTGGAAAAGAGACACAAAATTCAGGCTGAAACAATGCAGCTGAGGGGAAAAAGAAAAACAAAAAGATGACAGCAAGCACAGCCACTCACCAGCTGACATCACATCCGAGGAGCGTATTTCTTGCAACCGCATCATTCAACTGATGAAAAAGCACACTCAAACTTTGAAAACACAGGATTTGGTGACAGCAGGGCTTTCTCAATCTTACAGGCACTTAAAACCCAGTTTTGTGTCTTCTTATAGCAGCAGAGCCAGGTTTGTCAGTTCCAGGAAGGTGACACCTCCTCACAGCTGTGGCATGACACTGCTGCTCGGTGTCACGGCAGCAGCACTGCACAAAGGGGCCTCGTACAGGCAGCAATGTGCACAGTCAGAGCAGCTCGGAGCCATGAGGCAGCAGGACACTGCAGATTTCATGAGACTGACTCAAACATCAGCCATCACCCTGCCCTGTGAAAGGGAACCACAAGCAGAAACGAGCTCCAGCCTCTCCCAGCTCAAAGCCCGTGGAGCTGGACCGTTCCGAGCTGCACAGAAGGCTCCATGAGGCCATAAAACCACTAAAGGTGCAAGAAAATGACCACACAAAGAGCACTAATGAAGGCAACCACAAGCAGAAACGAGCCCCAGCCTCTCCCAGCTCAAAGCCCGTGGAGCTGGACCGTTCCAAGCTGCACAGAAGGCGGCTCCGTGAGGCCATAAAACCATTAAAGGTGCAAGAAAATGACCACACAAAGAGCACTGATGATTAAGTTGCCTCGATATTCTTTTAAGCCAAACAAGATATAATTACCTCTGCTTGCTGTAGAACTACTAGTACTCACTAATGAGGCCATAAAACCACTAAAGGTGCAAGAAAATGACCACACAAAGAGCACTAATGATTAAGTTGCCTCGATATTCTTTTAAGCCAAACAAGATATAATTACTTGCTGTAGAACTACTATTACTCACTAAAACTACATAGATCACAGAGATCATCAGCATGATATATCTTGTCACCTATTAAGAGCAATACAAAACAAAGAACCCAAACCCCCAACTTCTGGTATTGTGTATATATACACAAATCCATAATCTTCAGTGTTTGTTTTATCAATTTCAGGAGCTATAAATACAGGAGGACCCCTGCACTCTCTCACATAAGGCACCCAAGGTACATACAGGTGATGTGAAGTGCACCTTGTCATCTGCTTAGGTAGTTTCTAATGTGTAGCTGAGACTGTATCCCAAGAAGCATCAGTGAGAAGCAAATAAATCCGACCCTGAGTCAACTCATGACCAACAGGTTACGCTTCTGTCATTTTTCAGAGCCTCTTCCCTCTCCACCAGGACCAAGATCCTTAATAGCAGCTGGGTGCATACACTGGGTGTTGCTCTATGGTGGCTTTTCCTTCCCCTCCACTTCCAAAAAAAAAAAAACAACCCCAAAACAAACCAACACAAAAACCAACCCCAAAAAGCCCCACCACTTTATAAGAGAGAAGGAAGCACATACAGCAGACTCCTGACCTATTGAGAGCAGGTACCTGGAGAAGAGCTAGAGAAAGGGACAGCAGACAGGCAAAAGGTGAAGAGAAAAAATAGGAAATAAGATGTTGACAGGGATGATACAATGAAGGAAAAAAAAAAAGTAATAAACTGTTAAAGTGAAGGAGAAAATTAAATCACACCAAAGGGAACATCTCCTGGAAAGTGCACTCTGCAGAAAGTATGGAAAAATAACTGGAAAGTTTAGGGAAAATGTCAAGTTACATGCTAATCTTAGAGCCTGCAGTTACCAGCAGACCTACAGCTCACTTTTACTCAGCCAAGTATAATTAATTCCTGCTTATTAACCAGTAAGCATCTAATGACTAAATTCAGGGACAGCTGTGTGAATTTGTTGAATGGAGCCAGGAGTTTCCAGCAACAGCTGTTTCCAATAGCAGAAATACTTCTCCTTTCAAAAACACGTTGGGTTTAGTTTTATAGAATTATATACACATATCCATCTACTTCTTACAAAAATCAGAGGAGGAAGCCAAGTCAGGACGCCGGTACCAGGGACTTCACCCCATTCACTCGTACAAGTCCACCTCCTTCATCGCTTCTGAAGCCACGAGTTGCTAAAAGCTGAAACGCACGATTTAACTCACACCGGCTGCGTCCTCGGCTCGCCCTGACGTCCCGGCAGCGGAGAGGGGACGGCGGGAGCGGGGAGGGAACGGGGCGGGAGCGA